TGTCATTTCATCAGTAACACCTACAACTGTCTCCCAATTTTCGATCAGCTTCAATGAATGTTCTTCATGACTAAAGTGTTTAATCTCACTCATTCTCTCCTCGTATACGATATATCAATGAAACTTAAGATTTATTTCATTAATTAGATACAAAAGGGCATCCCTTACCTTTAAAAGGATGAGGGAGGGAGGAAGGCATTTGGATGCATCACTGCATCAATGTTGCTTTTGGCTTTTGGATGTCCCTGCAAGAATAATGTTGCATGAATGCATCATCAGGATATAGCTTGCCTGTTAATTGTATATGCCTTCAATTCAAAGAAAGCAACAAGACAATTGAGCTGTCCTATAAATACTGACCTTTGACTTGACTATACTATTTATTTGCATTATGTGTGTACTTACAATCTTCATGCCATTAAGTTGCTCCAATAGAAACATTCAGAAAGGGATGCATATATGCTTACTATTGAGTAGGTTTAGACAAAAACATATTTCCATATGGCAGATTTCATTTGCCTAACCATGAACAACATCATTTAGTTCTCTTCCACCTCTTTGAAAGATCCCTCGATCTTGGTGAGCATGTATATGTAATGAATGCATCTTTCCATGATTTTTAGTTTGCTTGCTACCATTCCTTAGCTGTAAATATTAACCTTTCATTTTACAGGTTAACATGTATATGCATATCTTATTTACACGTTAGCTGTTTGTTTTTAAGCGACTATTTTCTTTTCTTATTTATGAAATGGGTTTATAGTTGTTTCTGTTTCATTTGTGTTGTAGAATTGGGGTTGTGAAGGGGGTTGAAACTGCATCTGTATCTGTTGTTGGCAGTGCAGTGCAGTGCCTCTTTCAGACATTTCAATGATGAGTTTGGTGATAAGTTGAAACCCTTGTTACCAAACCAAGAAACCCACATTTTTTATCATCCTGTCATCTTCATACATCCTTCAAACATGTGATAGTCTCAATTTCTTGATTGTTGCAACATTATACCTAAAAGTACTAGTTTTGGTAAATATTGAATTATGTACAGGATAGCTCCAGCCTCCAGTGATTGCAACACTATACCTAAAAGCTTGACCCATCTACCAGTAAAAAAGAACCGTAAAAACCATCGACTTTTACAGTCTATACAATAGCACCAGTAAAGAAGACCATCGAAACCAGTAAAGAAGACCATCAAAACCAGTAAAAAAGAAAGATAAATCCACGTGTGTGTGTGTGTATATATATATATATGTGTGTGTATGAAGCAGGAGGTAGAAATCGACATACCTTTTGAAGATTTTAGGTTACCAGATCGAGATCAATTGCTGTGAGATAGTGAGCGATTTGGGGATCGATTGCGTGAGAGCTAGAGCGAGAGCGAGTGCGAGATGCAGGGGCTGTGAGAAATCGAGAGAGATGAGTTTATAGGTATTAATAAGTGAAAAAATCTTATCCATATTAAAGAAGAAACCACGTCAATGACGTGGCCTCTTCTAAGGCCTGAAACCTGATTTATCTCCTCTCCCCTTATCTCACACTTTTATCACTTAATATTTACTTAAAACCCTTCCATACTCATCGGCTTTCTTTTCTTTTCCGTCTCCGTCTCCTTTTCCCTTCACCCTCTCCTTCAAAACCTAGGGTTCTTTGTTTTCTCTCTTCCTCCATCCACCTCAACTTGCCGCTAGCATCTTCTAAGGGTTCTATGATGAATCGATGAAATACCAGTGGAGCGGCCAGGTAAGATTTTGAGGAGGTACATCTCAAAACTTCTCTAGATGTCATCATAGACCCCCCTAAACCGCCCTTGCTTCCACATCGTTCCATTGCAACCGTCAGTTCCGCCATCACCACCACCACTTTCGTTGATCCGAGTATGGCCGGAAGTGGGTTTCTTCGCCAAAACAGCTCTCCTGCGTATTTCCTTTCTCAGATCAATAATTCCGATGTCTATTTCTCGATTTACGGTATTCCGGCGAAGGCTAATTCCGAGGATTACCTTTCATCCAGAGACGTCAATTTAGGAGACTCGCAAATCAAATTCACTACACAAATGCATGTACCCGTTCGGCGGACGAAGCTATTGGCGTAATGTCATTGGTGAGTCTTTACAACTTTGATTTGCTTTGGAAACATGGATGTGTGAGTTTGTTAACCATTCATAATAGTATACATGGTTACATGTTTTCCAATAGTTAAAAAATTGCTATATGAGTTGGAAAATTGAAAATTTAACTATTGAAAATAATAAACGTCATTCATAATAGGGACGATATGCTGTTGTTATATATTATTTAATAAACGTCATTGTGTAGCCGTTTTTCCTTACGGAACCATAAAAATGCTAATAGCATTGGGGTTCATCATATTGAACTGGTTGGCCATATTAACAAGGCTTCGGTTTCTAATCTGTGTGCGTTGAGTTTGCTATCTTTTTTGTGTGTGGTGAGTATTCTACACTAAATCACATAACAATTAGTAATCTTTCTTGGATGTGAAAGGAGTGTTGTTTTGATGAAGATTATAAACTATTAATTATGATTGTATAGGAAATGGTTGCTTATGATCCTGCTGTATATGATAAATGGTTCTTACAAGTTAGGCCCGGTCCTGACAAATATTTTATAGGCCCAGGGCGAACGTAAAAACAGGGCCTACTACAAGAAACAAGGCAACGACTTTTGTCGTCGCTAAAAGACCATTTATCATCAAAAATAATATATAACAACATATCGTCGCTATAACTTGCGGCGGAAACATGTCATCCCTAAAAGGTGCATCGTCAAAGCTCATTTTTCTTGTAGTGATCCTCAGTAAGTACGGAAAAAAATTCAATAAATGTTTTTCATTAGTATAAAATTGAGTAAAAGAAATGATAATAATTTACTAAGAAAAGAAATATTAATAACAGTAAATATGTGTTATTTTGATACAAAAAGAGAATTCGTGTGAATGAAGTAATCATGAGGGTCAATGAGATCAATAACAAAGAAGGTTATCAAGATTTTCTAGACAAGTAGACAAATGATGATCAATAAGAATATGAAAGAAAATATGATCCATTGTGATCCAATAAGAATAAATAATGAATTAAACATATAATAAGCAAACTCAACAAATGATTGTTTGAGCACTTAAATAGAATCTTGTGGTGTGGTGAAATCCCAATAAAAAAATACATAAGTCAAACAATTGATGAAAATATTTAAATTATATTTTCCTTCTTTTCTTGCTCAACTAGAATAAGATGTTAAGATTAAAAGTTTATGGAACATGACATATATAAGAGACATTACTAAATACATCTACTAGAAAAAATTTATTGATTAATCACAAAATCATGAAACACGTCATAAATTATAAGAACAATAGATTGATTGTCAAACAATAGTAAAATATTTTATGTAGATACAAAAATAGATAACAATAGTCAACAAAAACAATTAAAACAAGATAACCAAATAAAAATAGTCAATAAAATCAGAAATTGATAAAAATATCTAACAAAAATATATGACAATAGCAAGCATATGATCTTAATATTGAATTGTTGAAGCACGAAAACAGTCAAGCATATAAAAATAGCAATACCATTGGACCTTGTTGGAGATAAAAAAAATTGAGAGGCAATAAACAATATCATATAATGAATGACCAATTAATTTTTTTTTATTTTCTTCTCCAATGTAATTAGTTGATATACTTTTGGGCCCTTATTATCTACTAAATTCTTTTTGTCTCTTATTATATGTTACAGTTTTTTGTGTTTCTTTAATTTATTTAATTTTTTTAGACTACTATTGTATTTAAGGAGAAAAATTTGGGCCCCTGATATTTTTGGGCCTTGAACGTGCGCCCGTGCCGCCCTCCCCCAGGGACGGCCTTGCAAGTTACAGTTTGATCAAATGGTGTGCTGACATGAAAATATCTAGATTTCATATGAATAAATCTATTGAGTTGTCTCTGATACAAATGCCAAGCACGTTGTAAGCTCCAATAGACTAATTTTTAGCAAATTAGTCAAACCTGGATCACTTGCATCAGGAGGTTAGTCCGTTCATGATATGGAAGCACTCATGATCTCTATCAATTATCATAGCGTTTCTATGTCCTGTTTGACTTTTATCTCTTCCCTTCTTCCTGTTTGCTCTATGTAATATCTTCTATGACTCTAGCTCTGCCAAACATGCATATGTATGACGTTATAAGTCTCTTTTTTAATATTAATTGCTTTATTAATTAGGGTCACATTGTAAAAGGAGAAATCATACATAATATAATTCTTGAGCAAATCCCACCACAGAAGCGATCATGCTATGGGATTTTTTTTTTTTTTTTGCAAATTCAACTGGATAAAGCAATTGAAGTAATTTATCACATGATTAGAAGGAGCATTTTACATGTTAAAGAAGACTAAGGGCCTGTTTGTTTTTTAAAATTTTCACTTAATTGCCTCTTAACTCTTAATCGGTCAGACATAAGTGATTTCAGACTGTTTGTTTTTTTTAAATTAAGAGTTTTTTTACCTCTTATTATCCTCTTAAAATTAAGTGGGAATCCTATGTCTGAAATCAATTTCAGAGCCGCATCCCATCTCCATCTCMATCTCGCTCTCAACTCTCGATTTCTCCATCTCCATCTCGCTCTCAACTCTCGATTTCTCCATCTCCATCTCGCTCTTCCATCTCCATTTCGCTCTCAGCTTTCGATTTCAAGGTCTCGCTCTTAGCTCTCGATGTCAACAGCTCACGATTTTTTGACTGCCTCTCCGTCCAAGCTCTCGATCTCTCGACTGCTCTCGATGTCAACAGCTCACGATTGTTCGTGTTTATATTGATTCAGATTTCAGATGTAAAAACAAATAGTCTAACTGATTCAGATTTCAGACTTCAGACGTAAAAACAAACAGTCTGACTGATTCAGATTTCAGACTTCAGACGTAAAAACAAACAGTCTGACTGATTCAGATTTCAGACTTCAGAACCACCTCTTAAAATTCAGAAGTGAATTCAGACTTCAGACTTCAACACCTCTTAAAAAACAAACGCCACCTAAGCCTTACAGCTCACTCTACTAATGTGGTATAAATCTTTAGAGCCCTTAACAAAAAGTTAAACCAATATAATGCAATGGGTTTTCAGAAGGGGGTATATTTTCTACTTAAATCCGTTTATGAGATGTGAGTACATGGACCGACTTTCTGATTACGGGATTTTGCTGATGCTTGCGAAACTAATAAATTGATGAAACTTTCTCATCGTTATTTCTAATCATAAATCAAATATTGGATTCTCCAATCTTTCCTCATGTATTTAGCGTTGGGGCGAAGCCAGGATTTAGAACCATGGAGAGCACCGAACATAAATAAATAAAATTAATCAAAAATTAATATTAATTTTTCTTGGAGCTCAATAACAAACGAAGGTAATTTGAAATAACATTAACAATCGTCTTAATTCGACTTCAAAAACACAAAGTCATCTAATGTTTAACAAATAACAAAGGTTCTCTTTTTGTATGTAGTGAAAATTGTTGTATCTATGGCTGTAATGTTCCCTTTTGTGAAGCCATTGGGTTTGATGTCTGTATTCTTTTGGAATATGCTGGTTTGAACCCTTGTGGTGGTGGGCTGCGCTCAGATAGCATTCCAAAAGATAGCTGCCCTGTCGTGGTATTGCATATAAATCACCTTGAAGACAAGTTCAATTAATTCCCCCCCCCCCCAAAGTTGTTAAACCTGGTTTAAGCACATATGCCAATGCAAATAAATGAATGATTAACTACAATTGTTGTGACAGGAAATCTTATGGGACCTCCTTTTAAATCATCAGTATTGTTTATATTTCCTTCTGTAGAATTTACTTCAAACACTTGATGATCTGACACGTAATGGGTTTTCAGTAGTAAGTCCTTTGATCTCTGATGCTGCCAGCATAGTCTGTCAATCGTATCTATATTGCTCATTTTAGTTGCTTAATTGTATTACTTCCTATTATTTCTGTCGAGATAGAGTATATGGAAACATTACTGTTATTTCTGTTTGATATCCTGCAAGTGGAAACGACATGTGGATCCCTTCTTTATGAGCTTCAGGTWTTCTTCTAGAGCATTCTAATTTCTACCTCATGGCATGGTATTSCTCAATCCCAAACACCACCTTAATATAACTTCAACATTGGACTAATAAATATAATGTTTTTTCTTAAAATTAAAAGTATGTTCTTTACAATGAAACAATAATTTAATAAAATGCTAAAGCTTTATCTCATTAATGACTTCATTTTATTTTATTTGTTTTTTTAGGGTTTAGGGTTTATTATATTGCCAAGTTTAGTCCATTAAGAAGATTTATTTGCTATTTTGTTCACAACACAACAATCTTTTTATGATACACTGATAGTCCACGAGAATGACTTCGTTAAGAGCATCTCGAAAGAGAGGTTCTGTAAAAATGGTATTTCTTATAAATCTTATCGTTACTAATAGTTCTTATAAGACCATCTTCAACCATAACAAAAAAACACAGTGCAATAGTGTCTTTTTATACAATGAAATGTTTTTCATCTCCAACCATACTAAAAAAACTTTTAATATCATAACAAAATTATATATATTTTTTATTATATTACTAAGAGAGAGGATCAAATAAGAATAATACCTATTTAAAAAAAGAGAATTATTTTGGTCAATCATTTCATTAAACAAAACCTTCTTAAAAATCGTCCAAAAAGACATATATATCTATACTATATTATAAAGCATTTGACTAAAACTCTTAAAAACTCTTAAACTCTTAAA